ACACGATGCATAACATATAAATAAGATAATACACCCCACAGTAGAATAATAAAAAAAATGTGAGATGTGAGCAGACGACTTGCACAAGTGGTGATAATAACAATACTGAGTCTCATTAAATGTTGTATATTACGGTAATATACACATTTTCATTAACCCAGCCATGAATTTTTTTCAAAATATTTTAAATAAACACGATGCATAACATATAAATAAGATAAATACACCCCACATTTAGAATAAATAAACATAAATGTGAGCTGTGGAAGCAGACGACTTCCACAAGTGACGCCATAATAACAATAGTCACGGATTTCTCTTTTAAATGTCGTATATTACGGTAATATACACATTTTCATTAATCCAGCCATGATATTTTTTTCAAAATTAATAAAAACACGATACATAACATAAAAAGATGATAAATACACCCCACAATAGAATAAATAAACATAAATATAAGATGTGGGAGCCTGGTTTGTTTACATAACTCTGCTTCTGTTACCTCATGTACTCATTCTTTCTCTCTCTCATTTATTTCGTTTTATTCATTTACTTACTCCGGGACCCTACATTAAGACTACAAATATTTTAAGGTAAGTAATGGTGAACTGTATATACATTTTATCGCTCTGGGATGCTTAAATATCATAGAACAGTATGTGTGGGTGGGTTGGCCTGGTAAGATAGCCTGGCTATTACAATACATACCACACTTGATTTCTTAAAAATAAATATTTCTTGTCTCACCCAAAGATTAAGACTATAAATATTTTAAGGTAAGTAATGAGTGCACTATGTGTGTATTGTACCTTTTTATTGTTTTTTGATGCCTGGTTCTATTGCTAACTTAATATATGTTAGTGTAAACTTGTTATCTAGTGTTTGTATGCATTTATAAGTGGAAAAAAAGGGTGTTCCACTTTACGGCGATTTCCCCTTTACGGCGGTAGCCTGGAACCTAACCCGCCGTATAAGTGGGGCCTTCCTGTATATATGTATTAAGGGCACTTATCTAATCTGTTACAGAAATGTCCGCTTTTCTAAGGAAGGTAGAGAAATCGTGTTCGTTTGAGATAGTATATTGTTGTCCTGTTGATGTTTTCCTTGCTAGTATTTTCCCATCTCGCGTGAAACACTGATGTATTTTGTTTTCCTGTTTAAGTTTTCTCAGCCTGAACAAAAGGTTTTTTCACGTTTTCTTATTAGACATCATTTATGTACACTCCATTTTTCATTGTAATTGCTGTTTTTAATTAGGTCCTTTCTTTTATCGTATGAATGAAGTCTGATCATTATACTGTGTTTACTTCCTGGTTTTCCTAACAAACGTGTTTCTTTGATTTCATTGTTTTGCACGATGACTTGTACGTGGTCCTGTATTAATCCTGACAGCAGTTTCTTTGCACTGAGCTTTTGTTATGTCACTTGGAATGTGTGGACTGTTTATTATAACTGCATCAGACAACTTATCTTGTTCAGTTTTGTCGTCTGGAAATCAAGGTAAATTTATTTAGTCGAGTGTGCTGTTTCGATTCCAGTCCTTGATTTGCTTCTTCAACCTTCATATTTATTGTGTTATTTGTTCGGTTTTGACTGGCTATAGCTGCTTTCAGAGTATTTTCTGTGTCAACACTTCTCGATGTAATCTTTCTTCAAGGTTTTGGATCTTGTTCTCGAGGTTGGTTATTTTTGGATTCTCGTTTGCTCGAGTGTTGCTTTGATTTCTTTGATTTCGTTTTCTAGAGCACGATGTAGTCCTTGATATTGTCCCGGAACAATCATACCTGAGTAATCATGGGTGAATCCTTTGAAGGGAGTGGGTTGGAGGGGGAGTCAGCCAAAGTTTGTTGTTGTTGTTGTTCCCTGGGGTGGGCCGGGTGAGGGGGGTTGATGATACACCGGCGTCCTGCTGGGTAGGACAAATTGAGTTCTAGGGTCCTTGCTGTTATTCTTTTATTACTGATGTTGTTTCTTTTGCGATATCCTTTCATAGTAAACACTGAAGTAGATACTGTGTAGCAATGGAGAAGGCTTGTTTTCTCGGAACTTGGGTTAAGTGGTTGTCTGGCAGCGGAGGCAGTGTTTGGGTTAGCAGAGCTGTCTTCCTTAGATCTTCTATTTTTGTCAAGATTTGGGTTACATTCTTAGTATTCTTGGGTCATTTTGTGGTCTACGTGGGTTCATGTAGTTGAACTTTCACTTAGGCCATCACAAGTTTTGATGAGCGATGTTTTTTGAGGAAGAAGAGCTGGTAGGATGCCGCTGCTGCCGCTGCCGCTGTCGTATTCTTTGGTCTCCATAGTGGCCAAGAAAAGTGAAATCAAGGATGCTGTTGTTGCAAAGGGAGTAACTATGCTGACAAAAATGAGATCACCAGTACTTGAAGAGGTTGAGAAGTTATTATTGGTGTGGATAAATGTGAAACAATTAGCAGGAGATACTCTTATGACTTTGATTATTTGTGAAAAGGCTAGGCAGTTGCATGACGATCTGGTAAAGAAATTGCCTGAAAATAGTGGTGATGTGAGTGAATTTAAGGCCAGCAAAGGTTTGTTTGAGAGATTTAAGAACCGTACTGGCATACACAGTGTGGTAAGGCATGGTGAGGCTGGGCCCGTTCGGACCACAAGGCGGCTAAAAAAAATGTGCATGAATTCCAGGAGTACATAGAGGGCTGAAGGAACTGAAACCTGAACAAGTGTTCAATTGTGATGAAACAGGCCTCTTTTGGAAGAAAATGCCAAAGAGGGCCTTCATTACACAAGAGGAAAAGGCAATGCCAGGACACAAGCCTATGAGTGACAGGCTGATGCTAATGTTCTGTGCTAATGCTAGTGGGGATTTCAAAGTGAAGCCATTACTAGTGTATCATTCTGAAAATCCCAGAGTGTTCAGGAAAAACAATGTTATGAAAAGTAAATTGTGTGTGTTTTGGAAATCTAATAGTAAGGCATGGGTCACGAGGGAAATTTTCATCGAGTGGTTCAATGAAGTGTTTGGCCCTAGTGTGAAGAATTACCTCCTGGAAAAGAAATTGGATCTCAAGTGCCTGCTAGTAATGGACAATGCACCTGCTCATCCTCCAAACTTGGATGACCTAATTTTCGAGGAGTTTGGGTTCATCACAGTAAAGTTCTTGCCCCCGTATACCACTCCTCTCCTCCAGCCCATGGACCAGCAGGTCATTGCAAACTCTAAAAACAACTATACCAAAGCAATGTTTCACAGGTGCTTGACTGTGACCACAGACACTCACTTGACCCTAAGGGAATTTTGGAGAGAACACTTCAGCATCCTCCATTGCATAACCCTTATAGGTATGGCTTGGGAGGGAGTGCCTACCAGGGCTTTGAACTCTGCCTGGTGAAAATTGTGGCCAGATTGTGTTGACAAGAGGGATTTTGAAGGGTTTGGGACTGACACTGATGAGCCTATGTCTCTTGTAAAATCAGTTGTGGCACTGGGGAGTTCCATGGGGTTGGATGTGATTTTGGAGGATGTGGAAGAATTGGTGGAAGACCACAATAAAGAGCTAAACCACTGAGGAGCTGCAAGAGCTTCAGCAGGAACAGCAACAGATCACAGCTCAGAATCTTGCTGCAGAGGAGGAGGAAGAGAGAGGGAAGATGGTGCCTTCTTCAGAATTAGAGAGATTTTTGCTGTGTGGGGTAAGATGGAAAGATTTATGGAGAAAACATCACCCTGACAAGGTTGTTGCAACCCATGTTGGCAACATGTACAGTGACAGAGTCTTGGGGCCCATTTTAGAGAAGTTTTAAAAGAAAACGTCAGAAACAGAGACTCTCTGGACAGTTATTTGCGAGACAGGACTCCAGTGACTCTCAAGGTTGGTCCTAGTGGCATTAAGAAAACAGAGAAAGAGAAGCAACCCCAGAAAAAGCAATTGGTACCTGAGGTGTTGCGGGAAGGGGATTCCCCTTCCAAACTATAAACAATCCACTCTTCCTCCTCCTCCTCCTCCATGTCTCCCATACACTAAGAAGAATCGCCAATAAAGGTAAGTGTTATGCTGTTAATGTTTCATTCATCATGACCCATTGTATTGTTTATGTAAAACATGTATATTTCATGTAAAAATTTTTTTTGTTTTAATACTTCTGGGTTGTCAGGAAAGGGAAATTAATTGTATTTACATTAATTCTTAGGGGAAAATTGATTCGCAAATCGAAGATTTCGATAATAGTAGCAGCTCCAGGAACGGATTTAACTACGAAAAAACGAGGGACCAAATGTATTTGTTTAAAAAAGTGTTGCAATAATGAGGAACAGAACATTAACTGCTTTTTTATACACGATTGTTGGCAAGTCATTTAGGTCTGCCTTGTTTTTAATGAGTTAATTATTGTGAGACCTCAGTAAGATTTGCTGGTGCTATTATAGAGTATTTAGGTAATTACCAGTGAGGTAGTCTGAATATTTGCATTTGGATTTTGCTTGCTAGTTTTGATCCCGTAGTAGAAAAGAAGATATTAATTCTTGGCAGTGTCTGTAGGCTGTATGTGTGGTTCGTTGGTTTTGCTAAAATTAATCTCTCTGCTTCTGGCAGTTCTCTAGAGCACTCTATATAGAGGAGCTTTGTAAGAGAAGTGACTGTTTTTATATACTTTATTGGTTATGGATGGTGCCAAAGTATTTGCATCGGCTGATTTTGATATTTTCAGTATTGGTATATATGAGTATTGAGTAATTTTGGTGGCTTTGGTACCATTTTCGGTGGGTATTGGCTAGTTTTTATGATTTTCGGTATTGGCCCTAAAATTGGGTATCGTTATTGGCAAAAAATTTTGGTATCATCCCATTTCCCCATTTATTACTTAGTAGTGCACTTGGTCCAGTCCAAGTAAGGGGGGGAGGAACATTTGACTGATAGAGTAGAATAATTTAGATAAATTTAAATAAACAAATGTAATAAGTGCTAAACAGAATGAGTACTTAGGTAAAATTTATTATTGCTAAACATTATGTAACCTTTACAGTGGAGCATCTCACACTGTTTGGAGAGATGAAGACTATTGAGCAAGAGCACCACTTGAAGTTAAATCCAATCGTGGCAGCAACAATAACAAACTCTAGTTTTAGAGATGAAGAAATTGAAGAAGACTTTGAAACAATAATTCGGTTCTCATCTGGTCCACCCAAGTGAGTGTTTTGCTTAGGTATTGCACATTACCAGATTTTGACATGAAATTTACTAATTTGGTAAGAAATCTTGCCATTTCATTCTTAGATAATTAATGAATGGGAGAGGTAGTTTCAGGCTGATCATCCCAAAAATTTAATTCTTTTATAATTCAAATTGAAATAAGCCCTTTGCTTATGAATGAGATTACCAGATCCTCTCTCAACTCACAATGTAGAGCAGAATTTAAGATAACATTTCAGCGTGTCTTAAACTACTATCACATCATGATGGAGAGAGAAAATGAGAGAGAACCTTCAGACAAGTCAGGTAAAGGTACTACAACATGGGTTTTCCACAAGATCATCTTGTCTATCCTAGCTATTAGATTACCACAAATTATAGAGGCCCTGGAAGAAAAAACAAAACACTAATGTAATCTTATATGGATTGGGCAAAGGCATTTGACATTTGTGAACATGGAGTAGTTGTTCATAAAATGAGGTCAGTAGGTATAACAGGAAAAGCAGAGAAATGGATATTCAAATTTCCAACAGTGGTAGGTAAAAAAAATCCAGTTGCAGGACAGAAAAAAGTTCAGTACCCCAAGATATGGTCTTAGAACTATTAATGTTTCTTCATAACAAACATAGTAAAAACCTTCAAGGTATCTTCATATCATATATTGTGGAAGATACCAAAATAAGCCTATAATCACCTTGGTACACAAGACAGGAAAATTAGAAGCAAATACTGTGTATACTCAGGTAAAGGTTGAGGTTTAATGACAAAAGTTTTAGGCAAAAAAGATTTGAAGGGGTTCAAATCCTGATGTGTAAAGGGTCGACCACACTAGATACCTTAGTTTTTGGTGCATGAAAGACAAAACCACACTTCGTTATATATGCCACATTAACCCTTTGAGGGTCGACAGGCCCTCTCAGAAACTCGTTCTCAGGGTCGGCCAAATTTAAAAAAAAAAAATATTAATTTTTTTCTTATGAAAAGATAGAGAATTTTTTCCCGATCATAATGACACCAAAATTATGAGATTTGATGGAAAACTTACGGAATTATGCTCTCGCGAAGTTAGCGGTCTCGGCGATGTTTACGCATCGGCGATTTTGCCCACTTTGAGCCCCATTTTCGGCCAATTCGACTGTACTAGTCGACAAAAAACATGAATATTTCGCTAGAACTACATTTTTCTATTGAATAAGTGCAAGAAACCCCAAATTTACCATTTCAACTATAATACAGTGGTGAGAATTTAGAAATTTGCCAATTTCACAAAATTTCAAAAATCCCAATTTTCCGAATGGGGTCAGAAAAACAAGAAATCATTCTGGCACTAAATTGACATTTCCCTCGTTCATTGTCACGTCTAAAGGCCCCTCTTCATTCTTTTGCTTTCCATTTTGAATTTTATTCCAAAAAAATAAAAGTTTCTACTGTTATGCGATACGCATTAGTGTAAAAAATGGTATAAATCATATTGCGCATTGCAAAAATATTAGATCACAGTTGACTTATTGGCCTTAGCATGATTGTTTATTTTGAACTTTTAAAATTGAACTTTCCTGCTACTTGGGAGCTCAATTTCTGGGTACTTTTCATTGTAAAACAGTCAAATATCTCAATTCTGTGATATGCCTCCTTCTATAAAATGAGACCAAGAAAATAGAATCAAAACTCATACCTACGAAAATACGTGCAAAGTCGCTTTTTATTCCAAAAAACGGTCAAAGTTTTTTTTTCTCATTATGCAGTGCTGCAGGATTTTTTTTATACCATGCACACGACAATAGCCCATTTTTTCTATGGAGGCCTACCAGCCTTTTCCCGCAGATTTGCGGCACTAAGAATTTATGCGTACTAGTACGTCTAAAAAACCTGCACGTAAGACGTATAGTACGTCCGAACCCTAAAAGGGTTAAATGTCAAATGAATCTGATAACATCCAGTAGTTTTGTTTGTGCTTCTTCTCGGGTTTGTTTGCCAAGAACTTGATGATGCTGGTTGCTAGATTGGCCACTCTTCCCATCCTCAGCCAACAGTATTGTATCTCTTCATAAACAGTTTATGAATTTTGATATGCAGTAGTAAACACCAATAAAGTTAGAGAGAAACCCTTTTTGTAACTTTAACCCTTTCAGGGTCCGTGCCAAGATCTACAGCTTTAGTGGGGTCAAACAAGATCTACCCCAAAAAATTCTAGCGGCGTTAAATTTAGGCAAAAAAGGCTGGCAGGCCTAAATCTGAGAAAATGGGTCTGGGTAGTCGTGTGCACACTTTGAAAAATCTGGACCCCTTCATGGCATTGTGGGAATGCCACCAAAGTAGCTTTGTTCATCATGCCTGGCAGCAAGGAAGTCTCACTCTCCACTCACTCTTCGGGCGAATTCTGACTCTCCTCTTCACAACTTACAGTTTTTAAGACGATGGAAGTGGATCTGAAGAGGAATTCTAGGGTTTTGAGCCATAAGGTACCTTTTTATCATATGGTACAATGGTGCCATGTCATACAATTGTATCATATGGTACAATGGTATCATATGGTACAATTGTACCATATGGTAAGGGTACAGGGACCCAATGGAAAAAGTCTGTCTGACTTTTTTTGGGTTATCCTAGGTTCTCCAAATATGCTGCTATTTTATGATAATCTATGTAACTGTATTTGTGTATACAGGTCCGCCACACAAATCCAGCAATCTTTTATTCGGTTCCTTCAGTTATTCGGCACTAATTTTGGCTAGCATAATTTCAAAATTTCCGGGTTGCCACCACCAACCTGCTGGTACTGTTTGGTGGTGCTACTTTCTGCTAAGTCTTTCCCAATTTATTTTTCTCCATTTATTGTTTTAAACCTGCTTGCTTTTAGCCCTAGCCAGGGTTTTGCAATGAATAAAAGAAATGCTTTCATTATGAAAAAGCACCTACACAGTACATTATCTTTAAAGATAAGGTGGCTTTGAAGCCATTGTCAGTTTGCCATGAGCTCAGTCTCATGAAGCAGGAGAATATGCTTATTATTCGCTAATATTAACACTACAGCTTAGTATTTGCCTATCACAATTGATCTAATATGACATAAGAAACAATATAAATAACATAAACATGTTAAATACTCCAGAATGAATAATTGGCATAACACGAGCAGTTCGACAGATTTTATGAAGATATGGAAAAACAAATACCATTCTCCTATCCTTGTCTTGGTGGTTATATTTAGAGAAAATGGAGTGTAGCCCCGGGCTAACTATGATATACATTTCATACTCCACCTAAGCATGAAACAAAAGAGTTATTTTTCTCTTTTAGATTATCACACATAGCGCATGTGTGTAGAGAACCTAGGATAACCCCAAAAAAGTCAACATGGCTTATTTTTAGTACCTGGCTTGGGTTGCCATATATGATTTTTGGTAAATATTCGATTCCCAGCCAGGGTAGAAACATTAGGCGTGTTTCTTTACACCTGTTGTCTATGTTTACCCATCAGTAAATGGGTACCTGGGTGTTAGTAACTAGTGTGGGTTTTTATCTGGGACACTGACCCTAGTTTTTTTTGAAATACTCAGCATAATAAGTGCCTTTCTATACAGTAGTATGTCACTGATGTCAGCTAGGCCTGTATACCTCGTACATGTATGTATAGTAAATAAAGATATTATTATTATTATTATTATTTTCTCAGTTGTTTGTTGGGTTATCTTATTCTAACTTGGGCAATGTATGATGGAAAAATACTTCTTCATGTACACCAAATATGAAAGAAAATCAGGGCCATAAATAGCGGAGTTCACTTCTCAGCCATTAGCGGCCGCTTAGCGGTATATTTATGTATGGTTGTTGTGGTTATATTCTCATTTTTTCAGTCTCATTTGATAGAATGAAAGATATATTACAGAAATAGATATGATTTTGATTGGTTTCATGATGAAAAGTACCTTGAAATTGCGCTCACAGTGGGGAAAATGTTCAATTCTTTAGCGAAGTCAAGAGGTTAAACAAATGATGTCACCGTCCAATACCTGTCCCCCTGCCAGTCTAAATCCAGTACGGAGTCAAGAATGGATTGACATTATTTTATACAATTATTACAATAATGCGTGTTGCATAACAGTAAATCTTCTATTTTTTGTGAATAAAAATTCCAAAAAGGTAAAACAAAAGTAAATAAAGAGGGACCCGGAGACATGGCTAATGAACAGAGAAAATATTATTTTAGTGCCAGGAATGTCCCGCATTGTTTATTCTGGATCCCATTTTGAAATTGGCAAACTGTTGAAATTTTTGTGAAAAACTGCAAATTGCCAATTTCTGACCACTTTATTGGGTAGTTGAAATAAGCGATAGGCGGGTTTCATGTACAGTAGGGCCCCATTTATATGGCAGGTTAGGTTCCAGGGTACCGCCGTTTAAAACGGAAATCGCCGTAAAGTGGAGCACCCTTTTTTCACTTATAAATGCTTACAAATACTAGATAACAAGTTTACACTAACATATATTAAGTTTGCAATTTGAATAGGCATCAAAAAACAATAAAAAAAATACAATACACACATAGTGCACTCATTACTTACCTTAAAATATTTATAGTCTTAATCTAGGGTGAGACAAGTATATTTATTGTAAGAAATCAAATGTGGTGTGTATGGTAGTCAGCCAGGCTACCATACCAAGCCAATAATATTCTATTACATTTAAGCACCCAGAGTGATTAAAATGCATATACAGTTTACTAATTACTTACATAAAAAATATTTATAGTCTTAATCTAGGGTGAGATGAGTAGCATTTATTGTAAAAATCAAGTGTGGTATGTATGGTAGTCCGCCAGGCTACCTACCACCCACATAAATTCTATTACATTTAAGACCCCAGAGTGATAAAATGCATATACAGT